TGCACATTTTCTTCGTTTATTGAAAAGAAAATATCTAGTTACAAACATACTATTTGTAAAGGGCGAAAGGTTTTCTACCCATTCTGCTTCAAAGTGGTTTATTAGCTGAATGCTTACATTCAATTATGTATTCCCGTTAAAACTGCTAGCGTGAGAGAAGAACAGATGAGTGAGAGGAAGCCTTTAGGAAGGAAAACCAAAAAACAAGTCTGAAGGAACGAGTGGAGCCGTTGGATGGTAATTGTATCTGGGTTTGTCAACATGACAGACAGAGTCTTTGCTCATTTCATTTACTCAGTCAGTCAGTGGAAAAATAAATAGATGCTAACTGCATCAAAAGCTTAAAAGGCTTCTCAGGTAATGCTCATCCTGTATCAAAATGCAGTAGTTTCATATTCTCTTCTTTAACGCTTATCACAAGCTGTTTATTGAAGCGGTTTCCATGGTAAGTACACCTGTTCCACACGGGCAGCAGCTCCACTTCTCTCTTAGCATTAAAGATGGTTCCCATTTGCTTACTTTTACTCTGGGCTGTACGATTATAATAAAGTCGTATGTTGGTAGCTTGGAAAATGTGGTAAGCGCCCAAAAATGTCCATTTCCATTTTATGGGTCTTTACACACTCATTTAGAGACCAATCTTCGCATTAATTGTCCTTCTGACTGTGCTTCGACATGGTTAATCATAGTGGGTGTGAAATATGTAACACCTCTTTAGCGTGTTGATTTTATTTGGATTTCACCTGAGACAGCTCATAAGAATTGTGCCATACTGTGATTCCATTGTGCTAATCACTAACGCTCGAACAATTAACAACTCATTGCGCCTGCTGTAATGATGTTACTTCCTGCGTTCTTGAATGAACGCCATCTTTAAGTGAATGGTTGTAACTTTGTCAGCAGGAAAATTCCACTTTCCGTTCCAAAAGAAAGTCAGCTTGCTTGTAGTTTTTAGAAGTAACACTGGGAAATGTATTTTCAGTTACTTATAAATACAGATGAAGACACCATATTGAAATTAAAATCACCGCTATGTTAATCAGAGTAGATTAATCTGCTTCTTTTGGACAGTTTGATCTGAGTTGCTTGACAATGACATTTCACTGGTAGCATTACCTAAACATCAAATCTACCCACTATAACAGCGGTCCCCAACCTTTTTTGCGCCACGGACCGGTTTATGCCCGACAATATTTTCACGGCATTTAGGCAAAATTAATATTTTCAGGGCATGAAGGTCTCCTGTGAGGTGTCTGTGAGTGTTGTAATAATATGATGCCCATGAATGGTTGTATAAACATAAAAAGCAGGCTGTGTTGAAACTAGAGGATCGTAAGGGATTACGTGTTTACTGGTAATATTCCTCAGCGATCACTTTAAAATGCATCCACTTGAATTATTTCAAAAACCTAATCTGATCTCAAGTATTATTATATCGACTAGAGCTTAATCTGCAGAAGGGAGATAAGAGTTGCTTTTGAAACAACCGAACAGTCTGTTTCTTTTTTTTGTAGCTTTTAATGTGGCAGCAGAAGAAGAAACTTAACATGCACACCACTTAGGGCTGCTCAATTAATCGAATTTTAATCACGATTACGATCTGGGCTTTCAACGATCATTAAAAATGACTGAGCCGATTATTAGCCCCTCCCTCGTGCTTTACTCTCGCGCTGCTCCGTGTGGCAAATCGAGCGCACCTCTCTGCATTTTGAACACGTGTCACAACAACTAAGAGCAGCGGTCTCCAACCTTTTTTGCGCCACGGACCGGTTTATGCCCGACAATATTTTCATGGACCGGCCTTTGAGGTGTCGTGGATAAATACAACAAAATAAAACTAGTACCGGTACTGAAAAAAAGAAGATTTATTCATAACACACGTGAAAAGACCCAGGAAAACAGAGTAGACGATAAAAACGATAACAAAATAACGCTGAAAACCGATAAAAACCCTGAAAACCTACATTTCACACCTGAGCCTCAACTCTCGCGGCCCGGTACCAAACGACTCACGGACCGGTACCGGTTGTTGGGGTCCGCTGCACTATAGTATATCTGACAGGTTTGTCTCTACTTCAAACCAACACTGACAGATTCCCATTTCAATGTCATCCCAGCTTATGTTGATCTAATGTTGCTAGCTACTACACATAATGTTAATAATTTAATTCCCTAAAGCTATATAGATATTGATAATCCTGGTACCCTTGGCAGTGTATATAGTAAGTTCAATCCAGATTGATCAATGCATCTAGGAGGAGTTAGAGGACGGGCTTACATGCATATGCAGTGATCATTGCAGTAAGATGTAGCTGAACAGGTTTGCTTCAGCTTTCTGGGTAAGGCAGCGAGTTCCATAACTGAGGGCCCGGGGTGCAAAGTCCATTTATCTTTAGAGAATCAGGTACAAGCACCTCTGTCTCCCTTTCACCCTCTCTCTCTCCCTGTAGGCAGAGCCCAGACTAATCAAGGCTGAAAGGCACTAAAATCTTAAAAATCAATTTTTGAAACTCACAGATTGCCAGTGGCTGGTGTAATCTGGTCACTTCTCTTTGGAAGTGTTAAAAGCCTGGCTGCAGTGTTGCTGACAGCAGTCTCTGGATGTTTCTCTGCTGCGGCAGAAAAAGTATGGAGGACTTTGTGACAGACAGACACAGAAATACACAAAGAACTTCATCACTGTTGCAGTTTGTGTCTTTGTTGATTGGTTCAGTGTAACAGCCTCATTTTACATGTATAAATTCCCTCATTTGGAGAAGCATGCATGCAATGTATCCCTAGAAATATGCTCTGTCTGGATCTTTGTGCTGCTGTC